GACCACAACAACAGTAGCAACACCTAGAATCATTGTCCTTGTGTCACCAACACCCCGTTGTCTGAATGCCTTGTTCTTCTATTGTCCCTCCTCTTTCCGCTGCTGCCCACCGACAAAACAACTCCCAGACGATCGAAGTTAGCGATGAAGCTGTCATCATGTCAAACCGAAAGCGCGTCCAATCCAAGGGCGTGCACTTTCACGTGCACGACAAGGTTACGCTGAGGTTTGGCTTCTCCGTCATGATCGCCGAGAACCTCGAGGTACGCGTGTATGTCTGGGCCTTTTCTGTTTGTGTCGGTTGGGCTGAGGTGTATGGCCATACGCCGGAACCCAACCGACACAAACAGACAAGGCGCAGACATACACGCGTACCTCCAGGTTCTCGGCGAGCATGATGGAGAAGCCAAATCTCAGCGTAGCCTTGTCGTGCACGTGAATATGCACGCCCTGGAAGTGAAAGGGGTTTAGGTTTGATACGACGACCGCCTTGTCGCAAACTTGGATCGTCTGCGTGTTTCGATCGAAGTTAGCGATAAAGCTGTCATCATTTCCAACCGAAAGCGCGTCCGCTTTAAGGGCGTGCACTTTCACGTGCACGAGGAAGCTATGCTGAGGTTTGGCGTCTCCGACCGAGAACCTCGAGGTACGCGTGTGTGTCTGCGCCTTGCCTGTCTGTGTCTGTTGGGCCCCGGCGTATGATGAAGGCGAGCGACAACTTGGGAGTAGGGAGAGGGATAGGGGCGGTGGCGACTTTTCTCTCAAGCTATCAATAACGGAAGCGCGGGAGCGGGTCCAAACGTAGCGCGAACGGACATGGTCTTGGGGCGGCGAGAAACACTGCCAAACAAACCAATCGCGGCTTCTTGGACAGCGGTCGCAACTTTCGTCTGTCGCTCGAGCGAGCAGCTAGATGAGCGTGGTGTTTCTGAATTTAACGCCTCTAGCTTGTTGTTTTTGGCTCTGTTGTTGTTGTTGTTGTTGTTGTTGTTATCACCACGGTGCAGGGCGACTCTAGCGCAACCCTATGACCTCCCGTTCCCCCGCGGTTTCCGCCTGTTGCACCTGTTTTTGCCTTAGCTCGTGGCAAGTTCGATAATGCAAGCGTTTCTTGACAAGCGAAGGATAGGAGAAACCGCGCTGTACCTGTTCCGTGAGAAACGGAGCATTGCGTCAAATTCGACGCGGCTCTCGTTGATATTGGTACGTTTTCAGTCCTTCCTGACATAAAAAATGGGATCACCGAATGCTACCGTTTACGTCGATTCTCTTGTCTCAAGGAACACGGATTTGGCCGGCCGCGCGCTCTCTCCGATACATTTGTTGACATGTCCAGGCGGGTGACGAGCTGCATTTACCCGTGCTCCTTCACCAGTCTCTCGACCGCGGCCACCTGGTGATGACTGTCGGGGGGTGGTCCGCAGGCAATCTACTCGTCGCTACATGTAGTACCGACAGGTTCCAGCACTTTCACGAAGAGATGAGAGATGATCGAGGCCCGCGGGAAGAGGACCTCACCGGCGGAGATTCACGAGTGGCCTCGTGTCCGCCCTGACCCGGGACTATAATATTTAAACGTGGGGAACGAGGTGGAGCTGGACGTTTTTCTTGCCCCCGCCGAGCCGGTTTAGGTCATGAGCGACTGTCGGGTCCGACAGCGGGCGCCTGCTTGCTAGAACCGACCGCTTACCAGGAGTTGCGCGAGGAGAGAGGATTGAGGTGTTTGACAAGTGGGTCTCTCGAGGTACGGTAGACGTGATGACGACCGGACTTTTTCCTCGAGAGGTCCGATTGTTGAACGCCTCCATCACTTGTTGGCGCACGTCCTTGTTCCAGTCGGTTCTAGCGAGCAGGAGGCCGGCTTCGGACCCGACGGTCATCCGCCGCCGCCCAGGTCGAGACTGGTCATTGAGGACGGGAACCGCGGCTCCTCGCCAGCGTCGAAATCTTGAGCGAGTGGGAGAGAGAAGGAAGATTAGTTGGAAAACCCGAGCACAGGAAGGCGAAAGGACCACAAAACCTCCACCTTCATCTTCTCTAGCAGCGGTGAAGACAACAGCAGCATGGCGGGAGTGGGACATCTTCCAAGGTTGTCTGCATCACCCCAACGGGTACTGGGGGAACCCGACGTCGTCCTCAGGGTTGCAAACACCGGGGAGGTGTTGAGCGTGCAATAGTGGGCAGGACGACAATGAACTGTTATAGCGCGTCGGAAGGTGCGATGAGTAAGGTCTTAGACCTACGGCCGGTGGACAATGCGGTCTAGCCTCCAACATGCTGTAGGTACTAGCGGCTAGGCGGGCTTTAAGATATCCTGCCGATTTCAACACGAAATGTCGATGCGCTGGCTATCATCGTGGCGGTAGCGAATGTAAGTTGAAATACCAATCTGTACCCACTCCAGCGTGTCTTAGCGAAGGCACCTCGACCACTCCTTTTATCACCAGCATGGAACATGATTTTTCGTGGAACGACGTTGTTCCAGCTCCGGCACCTACCGTACTCCAGGTGCTCGCCCCAGGTTGATGTCCTGTAAGTTGTCGTCATCACTCCCTCCGCACCGCCCTCATACTTTCTGTTCAGTTTGCTCGTGCTCAGTTCAATATCTTGATCTTTGCTGAGCTACACCATGGAATTTCGCCCGAAGTTGCACGTTTTCCTGGTTGCTTCATTCTGTCTGCCAATGGATGATGCGGATGCCACAAAAAAACACCCTCTTCATGTGAGGTCCCTGTCACCGTCGTTTTCTCCTCTTTGTTCCGCCGCATCACTACTTCCCCAGCTAATGACCGTCGGGGAACGCATCGTTATCAAGAAGCTGAGCCCGAAGAAGAGAAAGGGGAACTGAGTGAAGAACAAGCTGGGAAGCTCAAGTCCGATGAAGAGGATGAAGGCGACGGTCGCCTTCCTCTTCTTTCACCGGCTTTTCCATCCCCAGCTTGTGCTGAACCTAGCTCTCGTTTATCTTGTTCGAGTTTCGCTTTCTTGCGACGCCTCCACAATGTACCGTATTTGACACAAGATAACACCCCCTTGACCGATTGTCAGAGCTCGATTTCTCAACAGCTGGAAGAGTCACAGCGCCGAAAATGGCGACGTTGGAATAGCCTCGTCGAGAGCTTTTCGAAAATGTATCATGTCGTTTATGAATTATCTTCGTCGTGGAGTAGTCGAGCTTTGAAAATCGGTCCAGGGGGCGTGTTATCTTGTGTCATTTACTGTACTCACAACAACTCGCGGCGGAGAATTGATTTGAGGTTAGGCTGAACGGTCAAGACCGCTCACCGTTTTCTTCTTTCGGATGACTTCACCCCTCTACTCTGTCGCGCTCCGACGTAAGGATACAACGAACATCGTTCAATGTATGCCACCAAACCTTGTGGAACAAGGATACTGCTGGTTGCAGTTCGTTTGCGCCACAGAAAGTTGTTTCAGCCCTCCCCCCGTGATCACACGTCCGCAGAGGAGCGGCCGTTTGAAGTTCTTGGGTTTTGCCTTGTTTTCTGTTGTTTGTTGGACTGCACTATAGCCCTCACAAGAACATGTCTGTCCCAATGCCCTCGTCTCGCGTTTGACTTTCGAAGGCAAGCGCCGCAGGAGGGGCCTCAGGGAGAGAAGCCCTTCTGTGTGACCACGGATTGCAGCTCATACACCCGGCAGGAATGATGTGAGCGCTGATTAAATGTGACGTAAAAAACGCAGCACATGTGGCGGGCCCGGGGGGGGGGGGGG